CTCAGCTCAAGGTGCCGTGTTCAATCCCAGTTGCGGGTGGGCGCAACCCACCATCCCATGCAGGAGTCCAGCCGGCAACCCTGTCCCTAGAAGCACATGCTCTAACCACCAAGCCATCCTGCCACCTGTTGGCAGCCCAGTGGCAGCCCAGCTTGAGCGCAGCTCACCAGCCCATGTGGGAATCAAATCGCTGACCCTGCTGCTCGAGCTAGTGCTCTTAACCAACCGAGCCACTCGGGCGGCCCTCCCCATGTGATTTTGATGCAATCTTCACACATCTTGTTTTGGGAAACAGGACTCCAGGACAGATTTGCTTTTTGGGTAAAATGTAGTTTTGGAAAATTTCGAACCTAGAGAATGAAAAAACCAAAAATATACATATATATGTTTTAAGTTTGAATTTGTGTTTTCTTGATTTTAAAAAGCACTATCCATTTCAGGTTGATGCTGTATTCCTCAGTATACTTGTCCGTCTCTTTCTCTTGTCTGTTCTCTCCCACTACCAAAGTGGCACTTATTTATTTATTTCATTACCATTTTAACCATCTTTAAATGTACAGTTCAGTGGCATAAAGGACATTTACAGTGTTGTTCAACCATTATCACCATCCATCTCTGGAACTATTTCATCTTCCCAAAGTGAAACTCTGTACCCATTAAACACTAACTCCCCTTTTCTCCTATTCTCTCCCCCGCCCCTCCCTGGCAACTACCGTCCTATTTTCTGTTTCTATGAATTTGACTATGCTAGATACCTCATATAAATGTAATCATACATTATTTGTCTTTTTGTGACTGGCTTATTTCACTTTGCATGACTTCAAGGTGCATCCACGTTGTAGCATGTGTCAGAATTTCCTTTTTAAAGCTGAGTAATATTCTATTTATATATCTGTATATATGTGTATATATATATATGTATATGTATATCACATTTTAATTTACTTATTCATCTGGACATTTGGCTTTGAACATGTGGATTGTTTTCAGCTTCGGCTATTGTGCATAATGCTGCTATGAACATCGGTGTATAAATGTTTGTTCAAGTTCCTGCTTTCAGTTCTTTTGGGTATAGACCCAGAAGTAGAATTTCTGGGTTATATGGTAATTCTGTATTTTTTTTGTGGAAGACAATGTATTTTATATTAAAATTAGAAAATTTTTATTTTAGCATCATACAATAAAAGGATCTATTATATTTAAATACCATTTAAATTTATATTTTAAGACCTGCCCTATAATTCATTGTATGCCCTGCCATTTCCTTTGAGTGTTCTAGTGTTGTTTAAAGTCCTAAACCAGCTCTGCAGAAGAATTTATTAGTATAAATTCATTTTGGAGAATATTATTTTGAAAGGTTGTAAACTTAGTGAATTTACCTCCTCTGATTAGACACAGCTGCCACTGTTGCTTAAATATAACCTTTCTAAAACAGCTGCTGGTTTTTCCTGAAACTCTACAAGTTCAGACCTGCCTAAGGAAGCCCTAAAGGCTTAATGGAAATACTATCCCTAACAGACAGTTGAAATCTGGAAGAGTTTAAGAAGCAAATAGCCCTTCCTTAGATTGCATAATATCAAAAATCAAAACATAATGAGCATATCTAGGGGCAGGAACTCAATTACCTCTGAAGGCCCCCATAACTCTACAACTTTAGGTATACTCCCCCCTCCCAACTAGCCTTAGTAATAATATGTGAAGAGGACAAACAATGCTTATGTTTTTTTTCATTTTTCCTATGATTCTTCAGGGAGGAGGTAAATGACAAATTACGGGACATGCCAGATGGTACCTTCTTGGTTAGAGATGCCTCAACAAAAATGCAGGGAGATTATACTTTGACTTTGCGGTGAGTATGTTTCAGCATTTTGGTTAGTTTTCTACTAGCATTCTTTATGTCTGGGTATACAAGATTTCTGTATTTTATTTATATCTTTATATACACATTTTTCGTATTTTTATTTAATCTAGATACATAATTTTTATTTATTTTTTGAAAGACTTTATTGGGGAATTGGGGGAGGGGAATAGTGCTGGGGAATTGGGGAAGGGGACCAGCCAAGTTTTGTCCTTCAATCTTTGTTGTTGAGGGCGCCAGTCGACATCTGGCTTCCCATCGGCAGCTCGTGGCCTCTAAGCTCAAGGTGCTGTGTTCAATCTTAGTTGCGGGTAGGCGTAGCCACCATCCCATGCGGGAGTGGAACCAGCAGCCTTGTTGTTAAGAGCGCACGCTCTATCCACTGAGCCATCCAGGTGGCAGCTCAGCTCAAGGTGCCGNTTTTTTTTAGTTGTTTGTTAGTGCTTTTGGTGTCATATCTAAAAAACCATTACCTAATCCAAGGTCATTAAGATTTAAACCTGTTCTAAAAATTTTATAGTTTTAGCTCATATTTAGGACTTTGATGCATTTTCAGTTAATTCTTGCATATGGTGTGAAATAAGAGTCCAATTGCATTTTTTTGCATGTGGATACCCAGTTGTTCCAGAACCATTTGTTAAAATGACTATTCTTTTACAGTTGAATTGTCTTGACACCCTTGTTGAAAATCATCTGTTTTGAAGAACATATTCCCATTGTTACCCCTTTCCCTCAGTATTGTCTTTAACTCTTTTGTGAATTAAAAATTGTGAAACAGTTACCTCAAACTTACAGAAAAGTTGCAAATACAGTACAAGTCATTTGATTTTCTTGAATCTTTGAGAGTAAATTGCCAGCATGATGCCCCATAATGACCATTGGTTTGTATTTCCCACAAATACTAACATTCTTCAACATAACTACAATGAAACCATCAAAATAAAAAAATTAATATTGATGCATTACTGTCATCTTCAGATTCAAGTTTTGTCCATTGTACCAATAATTTCCTTTATAACAAGAGGATTCAGTCCAGAATCACACATTGCATTTAATTGTCATGATTCTCTTCGTGTTCTTCCAATCTGGAACAGTTCCTCAGTCTTTCTTGAGTTTTATGACCTTAACATTTTGGAAGATTCCAAGCCAGTTGTTCTGTAGAACGTCTCTCAATTGTGGCTGTCTGAGGTTTCCTCGTGATTAGATTCAGTTTATACATATTTGGCAGGAATGTCACAGGAGTGATGTTGTGTCCTTCTCAGTGCATCCTATTGGTGGCCCATGATTCCAATGGTGGTATTAACCTTGATTCCTTGATTAAGATGATGCTTGACATGCTTCTCTACTATTATCTTAGTGTTTTTAATTTTGTGATTAATAAGCATTTCGTGGGAAGGCCCCCTCTGAGATTATATAAGTTCTCCTTTTCATTAATCTTTTAGTTTTTTCATTTATTTGTTTATATCTGCATGGACACATAGATTCCAGTTTTTTAAAATGGCTCATAATCCCTTATTATCATTATTTGTATTGATGCTCTGATTGTTCTAGGTTTGGTAGTAGGAACCGTTTGATTTTTGTTGTTTTTGTCATGGTCCCTCATTCTTTCAGCACTTGCTTACTTTTTGGCATGATGTTCCAGGTTCATTTGATGCTTGCTCTATCCTAGCCCTGCAATCCACCATTTCTCCAAATGGCTTTTAGTAGAGAATGGCATTAGAAACCAAGGTCTGGGTGCTAGGTGTGCATATTGGGGTGTTTTTGATCCCAGGACTTCTCAAGGGACAGAGCTAGGGAATAGTTAGTTATTCCCTATAAGTATAGACATTTATGTCTGTCTATATTTATTTATTGAAATATCTATCTATCTATTGAATTCCATGAGTTTATATCAATAGTTGCAATTCCAGTCCAAATCAGAGGGTTCATTCTATTTTTTATCTTTCTATATTTGTAAATTCCTTTTTAGACTGTGAGAAACCTGGCTCCTATTATCCTCCATGATTTTATTTATTTGACCCACCTCTTTGTATGTACCCAGTCTCTTAGAGCTATTGCTGCATTCCCCCTGCTACCTCTCATCCCTCACCCAAGTAGAAACTCTCTTCACCCTTATCTGGCTTTGCCCCACTGCTTTGGGATGCCCACCTCCAAGGACTGTGTCCTTATTGGCTTGGCCTCCCAACACTCTGTGCCACCTGAGCCCCATGCCACTGCCTTTCTTACTTCACTTAGCTTCAACACCCCATGCCAGGCTGTCCCCATGAGGATTGCCTCCTCACCCTGCCGGAGCTCTGAGATCCTGCGCTGTGCTGCTGCCCTCCTATATGGACGTAGTCCTCCCTCAGCTAACTGGCTCTGACACCAACTCTTGACCATCATGACCAGCTTCACTTAATGGCTTTTGGACTAAGTTATTTGTGATAGGGCATCACATTGTTTTTTGAAAGACAATGAAGCTTTTTTGGACATCTATTCAGAGTTAAAAGTTAGTACTTTATAAGAATGGAAAAAAACCTAAATAGCTTGAAAATTTCACTTTTCAGGCAATTGTTGGTGTAGTGCTAAAAAGATTCCTTCTTTGGCTAATGTTTAACATTTAACATAAAATAATACAATTTGATTTATAATTATTTGAATCTTAATGTACATTGGTTAATGAGCAGTTCTGTCAGAAAATTAGAAAACAAGTGATAATTTACACCTACAAAATATATTCATTTCTCTTCTAGCTCTTCCACCAAAGCCACGTAAGCCAATGACTTCAGCCGTTACAAATGGAATGAAGGATGGTTCTGTTTCTCTTCAGGATGCAGAATGGTACTGGGGGGATATTTCAAGGTAACTAGAATGCTACTATAATTGAATGCAGTTTTAAAAAATCATTTTTGAGAATTAGTAGTTAAGATAAAAGTTAAGATAAAATTAGTAAAGATAATGTCCCACTAGGTGTCATTTAAAGATTACTATTTAAGAAATTGTGTGTGAGAACCTTTCAAAACTTTCTAAATGCTTTTCTTTCTAAAAAAAAGTGACAAGAAAATCTTTAAAATATTGGTGATTTTACTTTTAATACTGTATTGAGGATAGATTTCTGAATTATTTATTTTATTTTAAAGATTTTATTGGGGAATTGGGGGAGGGGAACAGACAAGTTGCTGTCCTTTTGTTCTTCAGTCTAGCTGTGGAGGACATGGCTTCACTGGCCCATGTTGGTATTGTGATCATTGCACTCTTTCCGGGTGAGGGAAATTGGTCGACGGCCATTGGACAGCTTCTCACCGTCCACTGCCAGCCAGCTCCACTGCAGCCTACGCTATCGTGGCAGCCCAGCTCCAGGTCAAGCTGTTGTTCACCATCTTAGCTGTAGAGGGCGCAGCGTCACTGGCCCTAATGTGGGATCCAAACCTGGGCCCTGCTGCTCAGAGCTGGCGTCCCAAGCCAACTCTTAACCAACGCACCACTCAGCCGGCCCTAGATTTCTGAATTATTGAAACATAAATTTAAGATAGTTACACAGGTTTGGATAAAAGATACTTATAGACACTTAATTTTCCTTACCTTTCAGTTTCTGAGGCAGTGGTTCCACAGCCTTCACATACAGAAGAACCAATTTGGGTGGGGCCCAGGAATCTGCATTTAATAACCCCCCATGTGATTTTTTTTTTAAAGATTTTATTAGGGAATTGGGGAAGGGGAACAGCCAAGTTGTTGTCCTTCAGCCTTAGCTGTGGAGGGCGCAGCCAGCCCAGCTCCAAGTCCAGTCGCCATCTGGCCGCCCGTCGGCAGCCACTCAGCTCAAGGTGCCGTGTTCAATCCCAGTTGCGGGTGGGCGCAACCCACCATCCCATGCAGGAGTCCAGCCGGCAACCCTGTCCCTAGAAGCA